AATCAGGACAATTTATAAGAATATAAGTAGGGATCTGGTCAGGACCATAACTGAAGGACTGCTTTAAGGATTTCAGATAAACTACTAAATCATCGGCAGATATTACAGGGATATTTATTGAGTTAATTGGACATAGTTTAAAAGGATAGTCAATGTTAGCATGTGAGTTAATGGAATAATTGTATTTGAAAAACTGAGCGAACCTGTTAGAAATTGTTTGATTATCACTAGAGACGGTATTTTGATACTTCATGGCGGAAGGAAACCCACGTACATTTCTTTTGGAGTTTACGAAGTCATAAAATGATTTGGGGTTATATATTATACGCTGTTTGATTTTACACAAGTAAGCTTTATAGCACTTTTTGTTTAATTCAAAAACCTTATGACACAAACTAGCTTTACATATTATGAGTGTAAACCGGTTTTTTGTGTAATCTAAAATAACGTGACTTTCTTTTTTTCAAATTTCTCAGTTCTTTAGTGAACAATAACGGTGTTTGTTCTTCAGGAACATAAATACATGCGTTTAGACACATGCTTTTCAAATAATTTATGTAAAGTAAAATTAAAAAGTGCAACGCTTAGTTCAATATTTTATTTATATGCAGGGCATGACAATTTAGACAGTTCTGTGTTAAGCTTTTTAAAGTTGGCTTTCGAAAAATCAAAGCGAATATTTGGTTCGGTTGCTTAGGTACCGCAATTTTGACAATCTATATATCTGTGGTCATAAGCAATAATCGCCTAAGTCGAAAAACTCGAATTCGAGAAAAAACGCTTTAAAGATTTGGATTGTAATGTTAACCTTATGGGGAAACCAAAATATTTCCGTCTATAGTTTTTTAAATAGCCTAGCTAACGAGATGGGAGTTTCACATACATAAGGAATAGTAGTTGCAGAAAACGATAGCATATATAACACAATTCTTTCTTAAGTCGACTTAGGCGGTGATTGCTTATGACCACAGATATATAAAAATGTTGTGTTCGTATGTCACGGTCGTCAAAACTGGAGAACGGCTGAACCGATTTGAATAATTTTTTTTGTATTGTTCGGTATAATACCAGAACCAATAATATCGCAAAAAATTGCAGGATTGCCACCTATTTTAAAATTTTTTAACCCAATTATATTGATAAAATAAATAAATTATTACAATATGGCTATCAAATTAAAGGGGTTTAAGAAAGATAACTGTTGGAAATATTTTTGAGGAGAGTTGCCACCTATTTTAAAATTTTAACTCAGTCAAATTTATAAAATAAATGAAATGTTGCAATGTGGGTACAAAATTAAGTAGGTTTAAGAAAGATAACTGCTGGAAATGCCTTTGACGAGGGTTGCCAACTATTTGAAAATTTTAACTCAGTTAAATAAATAAAGAAAATAAAATAGTGCAATGTGGGTGTAAAGTAAAGAGTTTTAAGAAGGCTTTCAGCCGAAAATATGTTTGAAGAGGGTTGCCACCTGTTTGAAAATTTAACTAAATTTAATTGATAAAGTAAATGATATTACAATATAGGTATCAAATTTAAGGAGTTTAAGAAAGGTGATTGTCGGAAATATTTTGGAGGAGGGCTGAAAATTTTAACTCAATTAAATTGATAAATTAAATGAAATATTGCCATGTGGGTATCAAACTAAAGAGTTTTAAGAAGGCTTACAGCCGAAACTATGTTGACGAGGGTTACCACCTGTTTGAAGATCTAACTAAGTTTAATTTATAAAATAAATCACATTACAATATAGGTATCAAATTAAAGAGGCTTAAGAAATATGACTGTAGGAAACACTTTTGAGGAGGGCTGCCACCTATTTGAAAATTTTAGCTCAGTTAAATTGATAAAATAATTGAAAAATTGCAATTTGAGTAATAAACTTTAGATTTTTAAGAAGGCTTGCAGTCGAAAATATATAGTAAGAAGGTTGTCTCTGTTTGAAAATTTAACTCAATTTAATTGATAAAATTAATGACTTATTACAATAAAGGTATCAACTTAAAGACGTTTAAAAAACATGACTGTTGGAAATATTTTTAAGGAGGGTTGCCACCTATTTGAAAATTTGAACCCAGTTAAATTTATTAAACAAATGAAATATTGCACTATGGGTATCAAACTAAAGAGCTTTAAGAAGACTTACGGTCGAAAATATGTTTGAAGAGGTTTGCCACCTGTTTGAAAATAAAACTCCATTAAATTGATAAAATAAATGAAATGTTACAATATGAGTACAAACTAAAGGTATTTAAGGAATCTTGATTTGGAAATACTCTCAATAGAGTTATGCAATATATAAAAGTAAACTGAAAATATTTGAATTAAATGAAATATTACATAACTGGTTCGAAACGGAAAGCGTTTGGGAAAGCTTTACTAGAGAAATATTTTGTTAATGTTTTCACTTATCCAAATCCGGATAGTTAAAATGAAGAGAGAGTTTACAACATCTTATCAAACGAAGTGATCATATTATGAACGACGATTTGGTATATAAATTACGCACAGAAAAAAATAATAAATAACAACTGATACAAATGAAAAAATTATAAACAGCGTAACGAAAACATAAAAATATCCCATGAAATGAAATAATGAAAACTTAAAATTTGTATCACCATTCCCTTACATTAACGCAGTTAACAGTTAAATTTTAATCATAAACAATTTCGTTTGGGGTCGCCATAGCCTACTAAGTATATTGCGAGTAAAGAAATTTTTATGACAAGAGATAATATTATTATTATTATGATTATTATTATTATTACTATTGCGAACTCCTAGTTAAAGCTAAAGCAGAAGGGCATTTACGATCGCATGATGCAAGTTTTAACATAATAAGAGCTGCGTGTAATTTCTGGCGTGTGCCGATGACATCGACATCATCGGTAACATAAACCTCGAAGACTGTTCTGCCTTTTCCAAGTTGGATAACGAACGATAACAACATCAAATAAACAGTCAGGGCATTCGCACCTTGGCACCCACGTCACTGTTGTCAATTGTAATTTCGAGAAAGTAAAGAATTTCGTTTACTTGGGAACCAGTATTAACACCGATAATAATGCCAGCATATAAATCCAACTCAGAATCACTTTAGGCAAAAAGTGCAACTTTGGACTGAGTAGGCAATTCGGGAGTAAAGTTCTCTCTCGACGTACAAAAACCACACTCTATAAGTCACTCATCATTCCCAAGGAGGTTTATGGCGCAGAAGCTTAGACAATGACAAAATTCGATGAGGAGGCTCTTGGAGTATTCGAAAGAAAGATCTTACGAAAGATTTACAGGTCTCTCCGCCTTGGACACGGGGAGTATCGCAGACGATGGAACGATGAGTTGTATGAGCTTTACAACAAAATGGTCATAGTGCAGCGAATGAAAATACAGCGGCACTGTTGGCTTGGACATGCCATTCGAATGGGAACCGACGTTCCAGGTCTGAAAGTGTTCAACTCACAATCCGCTGGTCGTACCAGAAAAGGAGTTGGCCCCACTGCAATGGAGAGACCGAGTGGAGAAGGATTTGGCTTCACGTCAAGAATGATAAAATATAAGATTGCGCCAATCGAGCTGAGAGCAACTGGCCGTGACGTCAAAAAATTCCAGAATGAGAGAGCAAGACGAACTCGACAAGAAAAAGAGGAAGCATCGAACAAACGGCAGTATTGCCAAGCTTTGAATTTGAAAAAGCACCCAAATTTTTATTGGTATATTTTATGGACTTTATATACATACATAATTTTATTGTAAGGATTCCGAATCAAGGTGCTGCCACATATTTTGTTGTCGCTTATGTCACTGTGCCACGATTTTGTTAAAATTTTTGTAAAGTTGCTTACCACACTTACGATTGCTATAAATTTTGCTTAAATTTGTTTAAGATTTTTTAGTTTGGTGTCCTCAAACTAAAAACAAAAGTACGAAAAACGCACCAAGCACCATACTCAAAACTTTTCGCGTTTTGAATGCCCACTAAACAACAAAATAACAGTGAATGTAAACAAAAGTATTTTATGACGTCAGCGATTGGGTGGATGCTGTCAAATCGCCGAAGAGAGGGTTAGCGGTCCGCGAATGGGGCGACCTTTATTTTCTGGATCGTGGCTTCACGTGGCATTTCCTATTGGCGTCAGTTGCCACAGAGATAAACGACTGACGTTCTTTGTCGAGCTCGGCCAAATGGCTTAGGCGGTTCCAGCGTCAAATAAGAAGGAGAAAATGATATCTATATCTGGGGACCTTATTCTTGGATACGCCTGGAGGAACTAGGAAAACATTCCTTATCCGATTGATTCGGGGGACGGTTCGTTCAAAAAATTACATAAGCTTAGCTAGGGCCCCGCCCTGAAATTCTGCGACATTGTTATTAAGTGAAAGAATTGCTAATTCAGCAATCATACGTGCAATATTTCCAGAATATCCGGTATGGAAAAAGTATCACGAAAATTTAAACTCATTGTTTGGGATGAGTGTACCATAGCTCACAAAAAATTGCTTGAGGTTTTTGATCGATTGTCGCGAGATTTGCATGGAAACGTTTAACCATTCGGGAATGCATTGATGTTGCTCTCAAGAGATTTAACGCAAACATTGGCTGTAATTTCTCGATTAACACTAGCGGGAGAGATAAATGCTTGCCTGAAATAGTTTACATTATGGCAAAGGTGAAGAATTCCCATGATTTCGACCGATACACAATTTCAATTTAAATTGCAATTCCCAATTCGATTGGCATTCGGAATCGCAATCAATAATGCCCAAGGTCAACCTTTGGAAAAGTGTGGTTTAGATTTAGATGCGGATTGCTTCTCAGATGTTGCATGTTCCCGTGTCGCAAACCAGATATCCTTGATATCTATGCAGAGAATGGCAAAACGACAAATTTTGTGTGCAC